TGCTTGACCACTAGCTGCCCCTCCATGTTCTCGATGAGGCACATGGGGCCTGGCATGTAGGTCTCTGAGGTCATGTCTGGGGTGTTACTTTGTCTGGAAGGAAGAGATGGGATGGGCAGTAAATATTAGCCCTTGCAGAGAAAGACATTTTGCTTACTGAACCTGAAAACAACTGTTTTCCAGCGTGGCCTGTTTCTGAAGATATTACAAAACAAAACATAAAAAGAAATAGCTAAAAGCACCAAGGTAAACTAGGTCCTAGGCGAGCCATCAGCTACCCTGCTTGTTCTTAAATAGCTGGTGAACAAAGAAAAATTAATTTCCTTAATCTTACCCTCTGATTTTTTTGCATCTATCTCATTCCACTGGATTTTGATTTACTCATGTTTCTSAGTTTTTACCTCCTAAAATCCCTATTTTGAAAATTTATTTTCATTATTTRCTATATATAAATTTTTGCTTTTCTCTTATTTAGGTCCATATCTAGACTGCATTGCATTAAACAATTCTATGCCGTTATGTTGCATTTTCCAATAAATTCAAGTGTTTATTCAAGCTATACTTTTCAAAGGGATTTTTACTTAGTTAATAATTTCTTTTACAGAAACAAAACTTCAAAGTGTTTTCATTTTATGAMTGTTTATATGAATGGAAAAAAATTTCATTTAATAATTTTTCACCACTAATTTTCTACTTCTGRGCATCAACTCCTGTAACCTGAGGAGTCTTTGGTAAAATATTTTAAAGCTATGTGAAACATAAAGGCAAATAGTTGTTTTTATGACCTGTCATGCCATAAGGAGAGGGTTTTTTTTATTTTTTCCATTTTAGAAATCATCATTTATTTTGAAGCTAAAAATCCACTATCTGCTTGAATTCATTTTTCATGAAAGTCTTAAAATTAAAACATCTGGATTCTTTTTTCTAGCAGACTATACGCACTGTGGATTTCTTTGTTGTTGTTGCTGGTTTTGATGATCATGAAGACCCATTCTCTCCCTTTCTCATAGCCAATGACCTTTCTCATCAACCATCCTGATGAAAGACAAATTAGAACAGAAACTGCTGCTTGGGACCAAATAGTAGGAAGTCCATTCACAAATTGTACCGCCCCATGTATTCAGAGGCAGGAAATTCCATATGCCAGATGTCTTTCCCTTCCAACCCACTTCTACTGCAATACTGGCACCTTATATTAGTCGAATTCTGGTTGCCTGACTTACATATAGCAAGGGCTAAAATCATATTTAGATTACAAAGATGTGGGAAAATTCCAATCATGATCTGCAATAATTAGCTACAAAGCAGATATTTGTAAACCAAATCTGTATTCAGACATTGGAGACTTATAAAGTCTCATGCTTTGAGGTGAACTTATTAATGTGGGAGAAAACAGCTTTGAAGTTTTAGATTTCTTCATGAATAAGAATAGCTCTGTGTATCAATATCAGTAATAGTGTTTTTTATGTTGTTCCCAGGTGTGATCTGKATAGCATCTTTAGTGCTTTTCGAAGAGCCAAATCTCCGACACGTCTTGGAATATTTACTGTGTTCAAGCCACACAAACAACTGCCACTCTGCCATTTACAACTCAACCTGTTTGTGTCCTCTGGGATAAAACATATTAAGACATTTCAAGTTCTAGCTAGYCCCCACTGGTATTGTGTCTAATTAAGCAGGAAACAAACTTAGCAGACACTGAATGAATTCCGTTATCTAGCTACACATCAATTTAGACTTTAATGGGTTCATTTTGTAGTATCTCAGAAAAATTTGCACCCTATCCTGGATGGAATACTTTTAAAAATA